GATTGGGGCTACTGAATCTCCCATGAAGGGGAGGTGCCAATCAGGTTCATGGGAAAGTGGGGGGGAATGGTTACCACTCCAAAACCACACAGCTCAGTCATTGACACCCCCTGAGTCTGCCCAGACCTCAACACCCTGACTAAGGCAGTGGACTACTTAGCAGGGTGCAAACTCTGCAGGATGGGGCAACAGGAGGTCCAGAAGATAGGGCTATTGCATTCCCCTAGACTGATGCCAGAGGGAGGGGAGTGCTCCACCCAAGAAAGATGGCACTTACAGTGTGGGAGAGGGACTCAGCACAGGGATCCTGGTGGCTGTCCCTTCAGCTTTCTCCCCAGAGCCACAAACCCCAGTTTTTCCTCACATGACTCTAGTCTGCTCCACCCTCCCTCCACCAGAGCCCAGGGTGAATGGCTGAGAATATTTTGTGCATTAGCCCCTTTAAGATGGTACCAGTATCTCTAAGAGACTCCTGTCTGTCCCTGGGAGACAGAATTCCCGCTGATTTTCACAGCCAGATGTTATGTGGGTCCCTCTTCTTGGCTCTGGTGCTCTGGGCTGGGAAGCCGAGGGTGGGGTTGAAACCCACACTCTTCAGGGGGAACCTTTGCAACTGAGATATACCTCTGGAATCTCAGCGACCACTTGTGGGAGTGGGGCCAGCCCTTTTCATGTTTTTCCCCTTCATACCAGTCTCGATGTGGCTTCTTCTGTAAATCCTTGGTTATAAGACTTTCCTTCAGCTAGTCTTCAGTTGGTTTTTCCTGTTGATTACTCTATATTTTAGTTGTAATTCTAGTTTGGTCCTTGGGAGGGGTGAATGTAACATCCACCTAGTGTACAGCCATCTTGATTTATATCTATTTTTCATTTTTAAACATAACCAATTTTCTTTCCATCATGGAAGTTGGAAAGAGTAAGAGAAAATCAAATGCATGAGATTAGGTCTCCCTTTGGTGCTGTAATCAAGTTATTACATTTTAATAACTTGATAATTTTTTTAAAAATCAGTTGTAAATAATTTTATAAGCAAATAGGACTGAAAAATAATTTAATGTTTATCTTAATTTGATAACCAAATTTATGCTAAGTACTAGGTATACAGAACTGATCGTATTTGTAATGATGCATGGCAAATTGTATTTTCTAAAGGAGGTCATGCAATATTTACAATCTCATTTACTCTTAGAATATGGTCTTAACAGTCTTCCTGTCAAGAGGTGGGGTCCATGTACTGACTCCTTGAAAATAGGTGGGCTTTTGTGACTGTGTTAACCAGTAGATATAGCAGCAATGACATGGTAAGATTTCCAAGGCTAGGTCCTGAACAGTCCAACACCAATCACCATCTGACTGTGATCCAGTGAGACACCTCAAACTAGAACCTCCCAGATGAGCCCTTTCCCAAGATCCTAACTCATGGAAACCATACAAGTTACCATGTTGTTTTTTTAAGTATCTAAGTTTGGAGTGATAAGTTATGCAGCAGTGGTAACCAGAACACAAGGTTTTATTTGTTTCTCTGTGACATTTTGATACCCCTTCTTTGGAACACAGTTTCTTAATTTGAGTGATGTCTAAGGTCCTTTGCAGTGCTAACATTTTTTAAATTACATAGGTAATTAAAAAATTATGTCCAAATTTATTTTACCCTGAGACATGTTAAGTTGTATGGAGCTTGACAGAAGCCTGCTGTTCTTATGTTAATCAAAAATTTTCAATTTCTTCCTTATTTGCTGTCTTTAAAACTTTGTTAGTGTCTAAAACGTTTCACCAAAGTGTTTCATTTTAGTTTAATTCAGACACAAGTGATGATAATTATGTTCTAAAGTTTAGAAAATTATGCACAAATTATCAATTAAGCAAATGCTTCAACAGTTATATGCCTCATCAAGAGAAATTATGCAAACTCTGGGAGA